TCATTTTGAACATCTTAATTGATGTAAATATGTTTTTTTTTATTGTTGTAGATATATTCTGGAAATAAACACACTATATAGTATTCATGTTATAACAGATGTTTGTGCGAAATGTACTTGGTTAATCGGTCTCATGTAATCGGTTTCAAGATTAACTTTGCAAATAAGAAAGGCGTAAACATAAGTTTATCATTCTCTGAAATATGTTTTATGTTCTGTTGCTTCAATAATCATACTTTAGAAACTGTATTTTTAGTTGGAGATTAGAATGAGCATATACTAAGGTCTGTCCAAAAAAAAATGGCCGTGAGTATTTTTGCAATAACTCAAGAAAGGAATGAGCTAGAGAGCTGCGGCTTTCACCAACTGAAAGAGTAGATATTGGGACGTGTTTTTCTCCGATAATGTGTAAGATGAAATCCTTTTAAAAATAATCATCTTCGAAAGACATACAAAAGGATACATGAAAATGACCTTTCATCTAGATGAAATTTTGATTTTGCCCTTTTATTTAGACAGAGGGATTGCAAATCTATGGTTTACGAAACAATGCGCCTTTTTACTTTTCATTACATTTTTGTCGAAATATCACGCTGTTTTAAGAAAAAGTGTGAAAACTTAGTAAAATTCCCTATTATTTTCGCATACAAATACATGATTCCTTTTGTTAAATATTACAATGCAACAGGAGAACCATTTGCATTGTATCTTGAACTACAGGTCACAAGTCCCTCTATCTAAATCAAAGGACAAAATTAAAATTTCATCTAGATGAAAGGTCATTTTCATGTATCCTTTTGTATGTCTTTCGAAGATGATTATTGTGAAACACGATCTGAAAGGAGTGTTGAAGTGTTTAGGGGTAGAAATTTGGACCCACCCTCCCTCCTCCCCCACAGACCGTTACAGACAGGTGATTCCCCAATCACAGACCGTTACAGACAGGTAATTCCCCCGTCACAGACCGTTACAGACAGGCAATTCCCCCATCACAGACCGTTACAGACAGGTAATTTCCCCGTTACAGACAGGTGATTCCCCCATCACAGACCGTTACAGACAGGCAATTCCCCCATCACAGACCGTTACAGACAGGTAATTCCCCCATCGCAGACCGGTACAGACAGGTAATTCTCCCATCATAAACCGTGACAGAGAAGCCAGGTACCCATCACAGACCGTGACAGAGAATTCAGGTACCCATCACAGACCGTGACAGAGAAACTGTAGTTGTAAAGCATCAGATTAACGGTTAGCTACAAATGTATCGCAACGTAATGGAAGAAAAGGATTTCCATTTAATTAGTAATAATAGAGCCATCGTGTTTCACATTTTTAATCCCGCAAGGGATTGCGCTAACAGCTTTTGATCCATATACTAGTTGATACAAGAAAATCTTATTCGAAACGATTTTATTATTCGTTCACTTATTCAAGACTATAATGAGAACGTTAAAAAGTAATGTTAATTTTCCAAAATCATCAACTTCGATCAATGTTAAACTTTTGTACTCGATGATTTCCAAGATCACTCACGTACAGATTTCCCTCTCGATCAAACGACAAACTGACTGGGTAACAGAATTGATTTGATTGACTTCCTTGACCATTTCCACCAACGATAACACTTCCTTCAGTAGTCCCTTGAAGCCAACGCATTATTCGATGATTTGCATAATCAGCAATATAAATAGTACCGGACTGATCCACAATGATTCCATGAGGATCTGATAATTGTCCAAGACTATTTCCTTCACATTGACCACCAGCAACAACAATACCTTGTTTCGTATCTTTCATCCATTTCATCACACGATGATTATTTATATCCGATATGTACATCGAATGATTTCGATCAACGACTGCGTATCTCGGTTGATCAAATTGATCGAGACGACTTCCTGGTCCATTTTCACCTGCCTCCACTGTTCCTTTGCTTTCCCCCATTCGAAACCGTCTAACTTCATGTTTATCATTTTCAGTAATATAGAGAAATTCATCATCATCAACTGTTAATCCAATACATTCAATATCTGAAATGATTGTTTTTCCATTTGTAGCACTTTGACGAGCCCATTGAACTACTCGTTTTGTTGCCAAAATCGCATATGATAAGACAATCTCTTTCGTTATCAATAGTCACATCTGTCGGAAAGTTCAACTGATCAGGACGGTTTCCTTGTCCATTTCCACCGGCCACAACTAGACCAGTCGTTGCACCACATGTCCATTTGACAATACGATTATTCGAATTATCAACAACGTACACAGCTTGGTCGTCATCAACACATAAACTCCATGGATTGCAGAGTTGATTCATTCCATTGCCTCCTCCATTTCCTCCAGCAACGGTGACACCATTCTGTATCCATTTTGAATTAGCATCCAGCATTGCCATGGGCAGCAATGGTACTAAAATAAAACGCAACTGTTTTCATTCACATTTGATTCGTGCACGTCGATAACAAAGAGAAATTTGAATGATGCAACTTTAATGAATAGAGAGAGAGAGAAATAAGAGCTTTAGTTATTTGTCATATAGAATGATTTCTCAATGATGATCTGTTAATGTTGGTATTTCGAATGAAGACAAATCTGGATGCTTCTATTGAATGATGATTAAAATAAAAATCTTCAAATTTTCTTATCACCTCACTATCACCGAAACACTTTTCATTTTTCATAGAAACTTCGAAAACAAAACGTTATTATTGATTATCGGTGTCAATTAAGAATACTTAATAGTACCCTTTTTTTCGAATATAATCTTAATGATGAAGTGAGAAAGAATTTTTTCATGAAAAGATGATCGGCACCTTAAGAAATACTTAATGAAGTTTCTTTCAGTTCGATTTTTATAAAAATCAATCAAAATGAACATCGAGAATGTGAGAAAATATTGGATAAAAAAATTTGTCAACATTCTTAGATGATTCAATATCTCAGATCATTAAAGCTGAAAAGGTTTATTTCTCAAGGAATTAAAAATACATGTATGAACAATCATCAACAATTAAGCTGATGTTTCTCTTAGAAATTCAAAAGAGTCATATACATGTTCGACATACATTCAAAACAGATTATGTTGATAATTACTGCTGATAGATTCAATCTTCATGTAGCTCAGATGATATTTTTTTTCTATTGACGGAAATCAGTCCTCCTTCAACTTTTCAAATACTTATTTACTACAAAAGAACTCATCAACTATCATATCATCACTTTGATCATAGAGAGAAATGTCATTTCTAACATAACTGATACATTCAACGGTCGTTCTTTTCATTTCGTTTTATTCTATACTGTAAAAGTACAAATGAATAAAACATTGTGATACTTTGAATAGCCCCATTTATTTTATTTCCGTTCATTTTTACAAAAAACAAATTTATCATTTTCTTCTGAATTTCAACTCAATATCCTTTTTCTGATATCATCTAAAAACTTTTTATCGCATAAATATTCTAAACCAAGAAAATCTCATTTTGATAGTGCAAGAGTAAAGCAGACACATGAATGATTTCAATGGCTTATCTAAGAGTCTTTACAAGTCTTTCAATAGTCTTGACGAATTATATCTTACAGTGGAGAGTGGTGTCATAATCCCGTTACACCCGGTATCCTCATTTGCTTTTAATGTCGTCTCCGGGTATTGACATTTAAACTATAGCTATATGCTATAAAGTTGAGGAATTTGAGTGAATTTGGGGTAACGACGTCGTTACCCCAAATTCACTCAAATTCTTCAATTTTAAAAACATGCAAATTCATTTATGGAGTAAAGAAGTCATTATCCCTATGCGAAAGTTTCATCGTGTAAATGAATTCACTTTTAGTTGATTACTCTGTAGGGTATCCTGATATTTACTTCTCGATACCCAGTGTAATGGTATTATGACATCTATGACAGTGGAACCGATTGTTGAAAGTGTTTTGTTGATTGGATAAAACTTACCTCAAGTGGAAGATTGTGCGATTCTCTTTTTAGCGGGTTTCAAAAATCGACTAAATCCATTTAGTTATTAATACGAATTAACAAGGTATCCAAAGATTTGTCATTGTCTCGCAAATTAGCAAAGTAACAGGACAATAAATACGGACCGTTTCTGATGGAAAAATCCAAAAAGTGATAGGCACTTGTAAGCAAGAAGTGGGGTGTGGGTATTTTTGTCATGTCAATCCACATCCACGCCCATCATACAAAGATTATGCTAGCAGATTTTTTATTTCATATCCATGTCGAACTCAATGATCAACATAATGCGCAGAAGGAATCTAGATTTTGGCAGCATGTTCTTTAATATTTAATTTAAAATAAATTCAGTTGATGTCTATCACATTAATGCGATGCCATTTTTATATTGGGGAGTATGCAGCATTCGTCTAATATTTTTGTTGTCAAACATAACTGTCCTTCCTATTGAGAAGAACTTGAGAATAGAAGTTCAATAAAATCACTCATAATTTGTAGATATTGACAGTTGCTTCAGTATTGTGTTTTATTTTCTCCTCAATAATGAAGATTTTAGAAGGAAATTTTAACACTGAATATTTCATCCTAATTGAGTTTTAGGATGAAATTGTGTAATATAAGAAATTTTTCGACGTAATGCAATTTGAATGGTTAAACAATATATTATGATGCTTCAAGATAAACTCTCTCGATTCTTGTGAGTTCAACTAGAACATAAGATTTACCTTTTATTCCAAGATGTATTTTATTGATGAAAGATGTTGAATCACGTTTTATTTGAAATTTAATGAATTCTTGAGGTTGGTTTTTAATCGTTGAAGTTCTTCATTGAAAACTTGAATATCTGTCTCGGCAATATCTTCATCTTTACGAAATTTAACGATTTGTTCTGTCAGTCGATTCAATTTGAAATCCAGATCGGTGACAACTTTGGTGACACTCAATGAAAGTTCACGACGAACTTCATTGGCAACTTGTCGGATCTTTTCGATCGATTCATATTCCCATTCATCGATTTGTTTCATTAATTCATGTTTTTGTTGTTTGACATTTTGTCCGGCGATTCTAATTTTTAACTCGTTAAATTGATCTTCAATTGTATTTAATTGTTCGCTCAATTCATGGCGATGCTCAACAATATAATCAGAACAAAAATCTGTAGAACATCCACTACATTTCACTGTGTTTTTTGTCTTTTTGCATGTAACGCAAAACTTTTCATCAGTTTTTGTCGCCATATGACGAGATCCTGTAGAAAAAAAAAACAAATGAAAAAGAATTGATAAGATTCAGTATCATTACTACTCACGTTTGTTCTTGGTTTTGGCAATAAAAGGAGTCTTGCATCATCAACATATTTTGTTACGCATGCAGATTTCATCATGGAAAAGATCACAACCAACCACAATCAAAGTTAAAAAAAACTGTGCATCGAAACAAAAGAGAATATGTACGTTAATTGAATTTCAGTTTAGAATTCTTTATTTTTCAAGTCTCATTTTCATTGACTTTAGACAAGGTTTTCAAACTATGATTGAAAGAAATGTCCATGATAAAAACTGTTTGATAGATTGAATCAAATTACTAGATTTCCAATAAATACGTAGATGGCGTAAATCTACCTTTGACATTCGTTGTTGTTTTCAACCAATCTTTGATAGAATCAAGTTATTCATGAACACCTCTGATATGAATAAGTTCACTCTTTCCATTAATAGTCGAAGAAATGAATATAGACTCTATTTCTCCTATACATTTGATGACTCTAACAAACACGATATTTGTTTGTCAACATAAGTATTAATGCAATTTATCCAACTAATTCTTTCAACATTGGATTGAACTGTAAATTCTGTACTGAGGATGTCGATCTTCCTCTTTCACATACATCCACACCCATTAAAGTATCAAATTGCTTTTTTTTTTCAAGAGCAATTCTGACTATCAAAATCATTTCAGTTTTCCTATGAATGAAAATTCAAAGCTACAATAATCTCAAATGAATTTTAGAACAGAGTGATCAAACATTATACAAAATTATGCATCTAACTGAAACTGACACAAGAAATGGATAAGAAAAATGATATTACATTCATCTATAATGTGTTAAAAACATAACCCGAACTTTCGACATGTCAAACAGACTTAGAATTAAACAGCAGCAAGACCTGAGTGTGAGATTAAAAATCTTCTTCTCTCTATTTAGTTCTTGACATTCTGTGATTTTTAAAAATTTTCGAGATACCTAACCGAGAAAAGAATGAATTCCGTGTTTATTTTGAATGTCCTTCTCAATTCATCAAAAATAAGTGATTTGAGTATCATTCTTCCATAGTGCTAAACTTTTGGGTTGAATAATCAAATGTGACCCAATCGCATCGATATGAGTGAGCCATTTGAGTCGCGACTGATCATCTTTCATAAGAGTACGAGCCAATTGTAGAGTACCTCGTTGACAAAAAATACGAAATGAACAAAGGCGCTTGAAAGATGTAATCAGCTCTTCAATGATTTTTTTCTGATTTCTTCGTATAAGCTTATTCGATGTGACTTCAATAGTCAGATATTCGAGTAGAGGAAATGTCAAAATAAAATAATCCAAATCAGTGAGATGAATAGCTCCATCGGCTCCATTGCAATATAAATATAGATATTTAATGTGATTACCATTGATTACTGGTAATGCTGTCCGCAATAGATAGATCAAATCGCCGTACATTATTCTCAGAGTATCAAGTCGTTTTTGTCCGTAAAAGAGTCGATCAAAGAGACTTCTCTTTACTTTACATGTAGTCGAGCGAAAGTAGTACAAGCTTTTGAGATGTTTGAGTTTCAAAGTAACTGGAAGTGTAACATCCTTTTCTTTTGACTCATCACTAACATTAATCGAATCGAGATAAAGCCATTTGATACTTGGAAAACGACATATAACGCTTAAATAATCTTCTGTTGTTATTGGAACATGTTCACCATGCATTGAGAGTCCGACAAGGCGATAAGGAGGCTGCTGAACGGCTTTCGCATTATTACAGAGAGCATGTACAGCTTCTGGAGATGTTGTATAACTTTGATCACGATTATATCGATAAGGAACAGTGTCGATGAACAAGGTTTGCATATTTGTATAGATAATAAAAGAAGAAAGATCGATATTTTCGATAAATGAATTGAAAACTGCTTGTTTGAGATCATTATTTGTTTCAACACCGAAACGACTAAGTAGAGTTTCCGTTATTTCAATCTCGAGGCCTAGATGTAATGTCGTTAGACAAGGCATTGAAGTGATCAGCTCTGCCCAAAGAGTAGCCTCGGCATAGTGTGGGTCATTGGTCTTTATACCGAAAGCAAGGTATTCGATTGAAAGCATAAGAGACATCATTACTTTCAGTGTTTCAAATGGCATCCCTTGTTTGTCCATCGTATATAAGTATAATTCTTTTAGAAGTTTCGATGTAATATCTATTGAAAATCGATCTTGAGAAACGAATGTTGGTGGTGCACAATGAATGACACTTACTTCCAATCGAATAAGACAAGGTACAAGAGTAAAAAGTACCGGTAAATCGTCTACCGTGGCTATCTGAATGGATAAGTCTTCCAAATGTGTATTTGATTGAATTTGAGGTCTGAGATGAATACCTTGGCTACTGTTCAGTGTTACTTTGCGAAGATTATTTGGTACAGCAAATAAATAGAAATTAATAAGATATTCAGTTGTATTATTAAGTTTTTCACGACAATTTAATTCGATGGTCAATTCTTCAAGATAAAGCAGTTTGGGTAAGATAGTCACATTAGCGTTCATAAAGTCACCGAGTGACAACGATTTCAACATAGGCAGTTTTTTTTCGAAACATGCATTGCCAATAGCCTTCTCAAAAAATTCAATTTGACCTTCGGCCCATTCATTGCTGAGTAACAACTTGGTCAGATGTTCTGAGACAAAGCTCAGGAAATATGGTGAACAAAAATATTGAAATTTGCTTAGAGGAAAAGAAGTCACATCGAGTTGAGAGCCAAATTCGGCGATGACGCATATAAGACGCCTATTGAGACGACCAAACGAGTAGAGGATGTCAAATGAACTCAAATAAAGACATACTTCAATCAATATTTCATCAGGCAGATCTTCAAGACAACTCTGTTTTGCCATTGTACATAGAAATGTAAATCAATACATCTTTTTTTTAGTCAAAACAACATTCTATTGATGTACAACACATACTATATAATAACTAAAGTGTCTTTATAAATTTAATCGACTGTGATATATTATGAATATGAGTATTAGGAATATTCCAAAGTGTGATATATGACAGAACAAGCAAAAAAAAATGAATGTGATAGTTTTTTGCTCCCATTACATCATGATGCTTTAGTACGATACCTGTATCCTTCACCTGTATATGCATGATTCACTCATGTTTATTAATATGTCGGAGATGTGAAAAACTATTTTACGAAAAGTTCTATGAAAATGCGATGAATTTTATACTTTGATTTCAATTTGTCTGTGACACAGTCAATTTCTTCTATCATACTCGAATCTAGTTTATTGTTTCAACTTTTGTCCATTACCGAATCATCAAATTTCTCTTGATATAGAAGTTGTTTAGATTAGCTTCGTTCTCATTGTTCATCAACAGTGGTAACAACCATTGAGGGGCGAATCTATTTCATATCTTTATACAAGCCATCTGATTCGAGCTGTTACTATTTTTCTTCTACAAAGACAAGCATATCTTGCAGTTGATAGCAATCAAAATGCTTCAGAAAACAAGTATTTTGAATAAATTAACCCTTTCAGGACGGGATTATTTTTCTACAAATAAACAAAATAACGAAATTTCAAATACAGGATAGAACAGAGAGAAAATGGAGTATAATCAAGCAAGCAATAGTAGGTATATATCACTACAACGAGCATACTTCATCGTATTCGCGACTATTTCTAATCGTCAATACATAATATATTTTGTACCCTGAAAAATAGTCAGTGGCCACCAAACTCTGGAAGGGTTAAACTGGACATTTCTCCGGTTTAATGATACTTATTACTTATGTACAATGTTGAGTAGTGTACCAATCTAAAAAATAGAATTCCTATAAGAATCAAGTTTATCTCTTAAGTACCGTCGTCCTCTTCAGTTTCTATTTCTTTAGTCAAAATGAAAGCCTTTTCTTTTAAGACACCGACTCGAATATTTCTTCCTAAAGTCAAAATCAATTCAATATTGTTACTACGTAGTAGTTTCATTTACATACTGAATAATATGAAACGAAAATGTTTTAATAAAATCTAACAGAATAATGCCTCAATTGTTTGAAAAAACGAATTGTCGTGCCAAATATAATCCTCTCTTCAAGTTTATCACATGATATCAAAATATTTCAAATTTCTTGGAATTGATTTTAAAAAAATCTTGAACAATTATTCAATATTTGTGTGACAAAAGGATAAACAAATACTTTTTCTTTCTGATAATATCTTTCCACCTTTCTTCGATTATTCTTTGTGAATCATCAAAAGTGACACACTTGGAAATAACTCATAACTCATGTTTGTATTCCGAAATTAGAAGAGAAAACGGTTGTATCCCTCTTCGCCGAAAAGCATTTCATCGAAAGGCTCGGGAATGCTGTAGACAGTTGCGAGCCCTTTAATTCCTGCATAGACTTGTGAAGCATGACAAGATCAATTCATTTTGCCCTCACCCTCACCTTTGCAGCGCCGTTCGTGACCAAAAAATATTTTCGATGTTGCGTTTTTCGGCGAAGAGCATACATACCGACGAAAAATGATATACGTATATATACAATGAACAAGAAGAGACGATTCATAAAACAAGATAAAAAAAAATAAGAAGAAAAAGAAAAATCTATGACACATGACTACCAAAAGAAGAATGTAAGCACACGTGCATAATGATTTAGATAACAAGAAAAATACTTATCATGATTGCATCTGAAGAAAATACAGTTAGTAACATTGATGTAATTGTACGTAAACATCGAGGTTTCCTTCTAATTTTTGAAAATAGTGATACTCAAGATTTTTCGATTGTAAATTAGTCTTGTTCTGCTATTATTCTTTAGATGACATCTCAACAAAAAGTTTTATCTTCTGATCGTATTCTTAGTTTACCTAGTGTCGATATTGATGATCATGAATGTTCGATTTATCGTGGATTACTTTGGATACCAGTTGCTTGTCAATCATGTGAAACACCTTTCTGTTCGTCATGTATTTATCAATGGTTGGTCGATCATCCAAAACATTATCCAAATTGATGTTACATATGAATTGTTTCTACCGATCTTATGGTTGCAATCAAGTATGTATATGATGATCACATTTTCAACTCTATACTTTCTTTTTAATAGGTCACTTCATATGAAGGTTTAGATAAACATGAGATTGAATGTGATTTCCAGCCTCGTCAATGTCCTGGTTGTAAATCACAAACATTGAAAAAAGATTTTGATAATCATACGAGCAATCGTCCATCAATCGAATTGACGTGTCAAAATTGCAAGCTCGTGTTTAAAAGAGCTGACGCTAATCAAAAACATACAGATATTATCTGCTTGAAAGAACAAATTCGACAAGCTTCAAGATGAATCGGAAAGAGTATAAACGTGAAATACACGAACTCAGTCTTCAATTAGATGAAATTCTCATTATGAGTAAGTGAATAACTAGATTCGATTTTCGCTAAGATATTGAAGTACTAATGAGTTTAGATCCAAGAATAACAGAAACTAAAATTATATTTGATGATTTACAATGTGC